CGCCACTTCATTAACGATTGATCACTGGTGGGCAAAGTCAGGCAGGCGGGAGGGCGATATGATGGGCGATAAGTTAAAAAATTTCATGGGTTTTGAAGAAACACATGCACACACACACAAATACACAATGGAATTGATTAATTGTTATTCGAAAATTAACGGTTGTTTTGTTATCAAATGTGGGAATGCAAATTTTTTTCTAATGCCATATATGGTTGGGGTGGTGGAGTGGTGTGAGTGGTCTATGGAATTTTTCAGTTGCACTTGAATTTTTGTGGTTAGGTTGCAGATAACTTGTCATTGGTTTGAAACGAACTTGGGCGAACATCAATGAAATTTTAGAATTTTTAAAAAAGAAAATTATATTTTTTTATAATTTTTTTTATGCCAAATAAAGTATGCCCAGTGGGGAGATTATTTGATCTAACCTCAAAATAATTTTTGGATTTTGAAAATTTCCTATTAAAGTCATAATTATAAGGATTTTTCCGGTGATTTGGAATTTTCTTGAAAATTCGATAATGAGAGTGTTGTGGCATTCTTAATTTATTTATTTAATTTTTTTATTATTTTATATTTATTTATTTTTTTATTTTTATTTATTTATTTATTTATTTATTATTTTTTTTTGAGGTATATGCAATGAAATTGACAATTTAAATCCACTTTATGTACTAAATCCCGCCCCGTATAAACGTTCTATTAGGAACCTACAAAAACAGGCATAGTCTTTCCCAGAAATGCATTGAGGAACCATTTCTGTGGACACTGGCAAAAAATTAACATTTTCAGGTGAAATATCGAAAATGTAAACATTTCGGAGGGGTACCATCCACATGACTCCCTTTTGCTTCGCCGGAAAACAGGTACTTTGATCAACTTCCATATTGGAGCTCATCACTTCTCCAAAACGTATGTAGCCAACATTTCCAGCCATCGGCTCTACCATGACTGTTAAATGGTTGTTGAACACACTAAAGCTTAATATACGAGCTTTAGGCAAAAGCTTACCATGTAGTAAATGGTTAAGTGATTCAGTGATGCCAAGGTAGCGTTTTTTTAATAAAGAAAAAAATCGTTTTTTCAATTTTAACGTTTAAAGTAATTTGAATGGAAAATATTTTCAAAAAGAATGGAAATAATTTTCAAAATAAAAAATGTTTGATGAAAATTAAAAAAACAAAAAATCGAAAATTGTGGAAAATTTTAAATAAAAAAATATTTTTTGTAAATTTTTTTTTAATATTAAAAAGTTATTTTTTGTAAAATTTCTTAAAAAAAATTGACGTACCGAAAGCTATAGAACTGTGTAATACAAAAAAAAAATGAGCCTCCTTTATGTGAGCCAAGAGGAGCATACAAAGACTTATTTTTAAGATTTTATACATTAAGATTTTATATAAAGAATACAAACAATTCTAAAAATTAAAAAAAAAATTGATGAAAATTAAAAAAAAATCGAAAATTTTGGAAAATTTAAAAAAATATATATTTTTTTAAAATTGTTTTAATTTTTTTTTTTTTTGTAAAATTTCTTAAAAAAAAAAATTACGTACCGACAGCTATACAAAAAAAGAGGAGCATTAACAGACTCTCCTATAAATCGAAAATTTTGGAAAATTTAAAAAAAATTAACAAGTAATTTGATATTAAGAATTTCCTTGATTTCTGGTAAAAAAGAATGTGAACAATTTAAAAAATTAAACAAATTTTTGATGCAAATTAAACAATAAATAAATCGAAAATTTTGAAAAATTTGAAATAAAAAAAAAATATTTTTAAATTTTTTTTGTGTTAAATTAAAAAAAAAAATACGTACCGAAAGTTATAATACTGTGTAATACAAAAAAATAAGGCTTCTTTATGTGAGCCAATAGGAGCATTAACAGGCTCTCTTATAAGAGGGTATGTAGGATTCTTTTAGGGGCATATAAAGGTACCTTTAAGGAGCATATAGAGACTTATTTTTAAGATTTTATACAGTAAGATTGTATATAAAGAATGTAAACAATTTTAAAAATGAAAAAAAATTGATGAAAATTAAAAAAAAATCGAAAATTTTAAATAAAAAAAAATTTTATTTAAAAAAAATAAAAATTAAAAAGTATTTTGATATTAAGAAATCCCTTGATTTTTGGTAAAAAAGAATGTAAACTATTTTAAAAAAGAAAAAAAATCAGGAAAAACTCAAAAGATTATGAAATTGGAGCATAAAAGAGAGGACACGGCGTTTTTGAAGTTTACAACGCAAAGTAGCCAAAATAAGTAGAAGTTCCTCCCTCTTTCACAATTTTGTAAAATGTCGGATAGAGATTCATAGGAATCATTACAATTTACGAATATAGTGTATTCGGCAATAGAACAAATAACAAGTTAAAAAACAGTAAGTTCGGCCGGGCCGAACTTTGAATACCCTCCACCATTTGGAATGAATTTGGAAATTTTCAAAAAAAAAACAAAATCCTTAAAAAATTTTGTTTATATTTTAAAAATACCGAATATAGCTCTTTTATTGGGGTCTATACGATATGGACCTACATAGGCATTGTTTGTCATAAGCCATTACCATATTCAAATTCGAAAACTTGAAATAAACGGTGAATAATGTGGTTAAAATCATCAAAATACCGAATAAAGGGAGGTACCGTTATATCGGAGCTGTGTGAAGACCTGAACCATCATAGACAATGTTCAGTCATAGGCTGTAGCATCCATTACGAACGTCAAATACCACATCTCAAACAATTTCGGTGGGTATTGTACCTTAACTCGCCAAAATACCAAATATAGGGAGGTACTGATATATGGGGCCCATACGAAGACTTGGACCTGCATAGGCAATTTTCTGTCACAGACTGCAGATCCCATTACGAATTCTAAATACGTAACTTGAAACAATTCCGGTAAATAATGTCGCTAAAATCATCAAAATACTGAATATCGGGAGGTACAGTTATATGGGGCCTATACGAAGACCTGGACCGGCATAGACAATTTTCTGTCTTAGGCTGTAGTATCTGTTTGGAACTTCAAATACCAATTTTGAAACAATTCCGGTAAATAATGTCACTAAAATCATCAAAATACCGAATATAGGGAGATACTGATGTATGGGGCCTATACGAAGACCTGGACCGGCATAGACAATTTTCTGTCTTAGGCTGTAGTATCTGATTGGAACTTCAAATACCAATTTTGAAACAATTCCGGTAAATAATGTCGCTAAAATCATCAAAATACCGAATATCGGGAGGTATCGTTATATCGGGGCTATATGAAGACGTGGACCTGCATAGGCAATTTTCTGTCATAGGCTGTAGTATCTATTACGAACTTCAAATACCAAATTTGAAACAATTCCGGTGAATAATGTCGCTAAAATCATCAAAATACCGAATATCGGGAGGTATCGTTATATGGGGGCTATATGAAGACGTGGACCTGCATAGACAATTTTCTGTCTCAGACTGTAGTATCCATTTCGAACTTCAAATGCGAAATATGAAACAATTCCGTTTAATAATGTCGCTAAAATCATCAAAATACCGAATATCGGGATGTACCGTTATATGGGGGCCATACAAAGACGTTGGCCTGCACAGACAATTTTCTGTCATAGGCTGTAGTATCCATTACGAACTTCAAATACCAAATTTGAAATAATTCTGGTAAACAATGTCCTAAAAATCATCAAAATACTGAATATCGGGAGGTACCGTTATATGGGGGCTATACGAAGACGTGGACCTGCACAGTCAAATTTTTGTCTTAGGCTGCAGTATCCATGACGAATTTCAAATAACGAATTTGAAGCAATTCCGGTCAAGAATGACGCTAAAATCATCAAAATACCGAATATCGGGAGGTACCTTTATATGGGGGCTATACGAAGACGTGGACCTACATGGCCCATTTTCTGTCTTATGCTGTAGTATCCATTATGAACTTCAAATACCAAATTTGAAATAATGCCGGTAAATAATGTCACTAAAATCATCAAAATACCGAATATCGGGAGGTACTGTTATATGGGGGTTATACGAAGACGTGGACCTACATAGCCCATTTTCTGTCTTATTCTGGAGGGTGTAAGCCTTGGGCAAACATTTTGGCTGCAGACCTTGGACATTCCAACAGGACTCAGCACGCGCCACCCAAGAAAGTTTACAAAATGAGGTTGGTTTCTCGCTTCATTTCCAGCGCACATGCATGGCCACAAAAATCTCCGGATACCAATCCGTTGGCCAACTGTGTCTGGAGTATTTTGGAAAGCAATGTTGGCACTAAAAACTATCAAAGTGTCGATCACCTCAAGCAAGCGCTTCGCCGGGAATGGGCCAAAATACCGCAAAGCAACGTTCGGGCAGCGTGTGACGGTTTCATTGACCATTTGAAGGCCATAATTCGTGCCAAAGGTGACCAATTCGAACATATCTCAACTTAGGCTAAAATTTGCTATTTCCGACCATTTTTTGCTTTCATTCAATAAAATTTTGAAAAAAAAAAATTAAAAATTATGTCGTTTAACTTTGTTGGTTTTGGAGGCCGGTGGTGATCCACCACCTGAATCGGAGGTAGGTAAAGTGATGGACAGAAAATAATCTTTTTTATTTAATTCCGCTGTTCCATTCCAGATCTCTGCCGCCTTTTTGGGGTGCAATTTTCCAACTCCACTTTTGCCTACTTCTCGGAGCCAAATGGTCGTTCCTGTAGGGCCTTTACAAATGAACGCTGCCACTGACCTAGAGGCAAATCTAAACTTATTCTAAAATTTGATGCTATTTCCGACAGTTTTTGCTTTCATTTAATAAAATTTTGAAAAAAATGTAAAAATTGTGGATTTTGACTTTATTGCAGTTTTTTTTCTCACCCTGTATTCTACAAAAAAAAAAAACAAAGTCTAAAAATGTTTCCTACAATCCTCAAAGCCCAAAAGAAATATAAACGTTTCTTATGATTTCTCAAATGAGCCCCAGGGACAAGTTACAAATTGTGGTGCATACTTTTAGGCAAACTTAAAAAATATATTTTTCGTTACAGTTTTTTATTCATTACTTCGTTAAGTAACTCTAAAATAAAATTCTAAAATTAATATTATTTACAAAAACAGATACATATATGCAGACACACCCACACGCGCGATTTTCTTACAACTCCTGATGAGCCTCGCTGCCCTCTTGCCAATCCTCCTTGATCATATCGGCCCCCTTCTCGCCAATCATTATGATGGCTGCATTGGTGTTGGCCGCCACAATATCGGGCATAATACTGGCATCCACCACACGCAGGCCCTTGGTGCCATGTACCCGCAGACGCCAATCCACCACGGTCGTGGGATCGGAAGATGGTCCCATTTTCGTGGTGCCCACCGGATGATACACCGTTGTGGTCATGTGGCGTATATAACAACGCCAGTAGTCATCTGATTGATAGGTCAATGAATTACAGGCCGGTAAATCGATTTTATACAAGGCTGTCTCACGCTCCTTGAAGGCCTTCGTGTCGGGCAATTTGGAATAGATGTTAAGGGCCCGAATATAGGTATCCACATCACGTTGATCGGACATGTAATTTGCATGAATCAAGGGTGCATCCAAGTAATTGGAGCTCCTAAGGGCAATGTGGCCTTTGGAGAAGGGTTTCAAATGCAGCAGATAGGTGATGTAGGTATTGGTGTTCTCATTGGCCTTGAGAATGGACTCGGCAACCTGTTTATTAAAACCTGTGGCCTTGATATAACCCTTGAGCTCAGGCGATTGCATTAAACTAAAGAAGTTGGTGGTTTGTATGTCCGGATTGGGACCCGTCAGTGAAGTTGTGTTAATAAATCCTGTCAAGGCAGTGGCCTCATGGTGCAGTAGTTTACTGTACCTCCCCATGATCAGATTATACATGGCATCTACCAGTTCCTCTTCGGTGGGTTTGCGGGCCGTGGACTTGTCGATTTGGAAAACCACCGGCAAACTGGCATGATCCTTGAGATTTTGGCCCACCGGCAGGTCCAAGAGCACAGGGATGCCCAAAGACTTCAAATGGGCAGCAGGGCCCACACCTGGAAAATTTCCGCAAAAATTTAATTTTTCAAATTTAAAATCGGAATTCTTTCCAACTCCTCTTACCCGACAACATCAACATTTGCGGCGTGCCAAGAGCTCCACCCGCCAAGATCACCTCCTTCTTGGCATTAACCGTAAACTCCTTTTTACCCTGCAGCACAAATGTCACGCCTGTGGCCCGCATTTTCTTGTCGAAATTCACCTTCTTCACCTGGGCATAACGTACCACATGTAAATTCGAACTATTCTTGTCCAAATGCGATTTTGCCGTTGTTATACGTCTGCCCTCATGTTGGGTACCCAAAATATCGATTTGACCCACCCAGGAACCTTCGGTGAAATCAGCAGCCGTACCATAACCCATTTCGCCCATACCCGCCTTTATCGTTTCCCGGAACTCATTATCCGACACATAGTTATTGATGATCATGGGTCCCCCCACGCCATGATCACCAGGCTTATAATCTCCTCGCGTTGAACGTAAATCCTCAGCTTTACGGAAGTAGGGCAACACATCATCATAGCCCCAGGTTGGATTGCCGCGATCACGCCAATCATCAAAATCGGCCCGAGTGCCTCGGGCATAAATCATGGCATTCATGCAGTTTGTTCCACCCAACATTTTGCCACGAGGCCAATGACAACTCTCGCCCTCCATGGCCATGCAAGCCTTGCCATTTGGTTCCGTGTGGTATTGCCAGTCCCAGTCCGAGAATTGGGTGGACATGTGCCAGCCAACGAACTGGAAAAAAGGGAAAATTAAATTTAAAAAAATGGAGGATTTTTTCTATAAAAAAAGGACGATTTTTTTCTATTGAAAAAAAGAGGACGATTTTTTTCTGTAGAAAAAAAGGACGATTTTTTTTCTATAGGAAAAAAGGACGATTTTTTTTCTATAGAAAAACGCACGATTTTTTTCTATTGAAAAAAAGGACGATTTTTTTCTATAGAAAAAAATTACGATTTTTTTTCTATAGAAAAAAAGGAAGATTTTTTTCTATAGAAAAAAATTACGATTTTTTTTCTATAGAAAAAAAGGAAGATTTTTTTCTATAGAAAAAAATGAAGATTTTTTTTTCTATAGAAAAAAAGGACGATTTTTTTCTCTATAGAAAAAAAGGACGATTTTTTTCTCTATAGAAAAAAGGAGGACCATTTTTTTCTGTAGAAAAAAGGACGATTTTATTTTTTATAGAAAAAACTGAAGATTTTTTTCTATAGAAAACAGGTTTTTTTCTATAGAAGAAAAGGACGATTTTTTTCTATAGAAAAAAAAGGATGAATATTTTTTTCTATAGAAAAAAAAGGACGAATATATTTTTCTATAGAAAAAAACGACGAATATTTTTTTCTATAGAAAAAAAGGACGAATATTTTTTTCTATAGAAAAAAAGGACGAATATTTTTTTCTATAGAAAAAAAGGACGAATATTTTTTTCTACAGAAAAAAAAAGGACGAATATTTTTTTCTACAGAAAAAAAAAGGACGAATAGTTTTTTCTATAGAAAAAAAAGGACGAATATTTTTTTCTATAGAAAAAAAGGACGAATATTTTTTTCTATAGAAAAAAAGGACGAATATTTTTTTCTATAGAACAAAAAGGACGAATAGTTTTTTCTATAGAAAAAAAAGGACGAATATTTTTTTCTATAGAAAAAAAAGGACGATTTTTTTTCCTAGAAAAAAGGACGATTTTTTCCTAGAAAAAAGGACGATTTTTTCCTAGAAAAAAGGAAGATTTTTTCCTAGAAAAAAGGACGAGTTTTTCCCAGAAAAAAAGGACGATTTTTTCCTAGAAAAAGGGAAGATATTTTCCTAGAAAAAAGGACGATTTTTTCCTAAAAATGACGATTTTTTTCTATAGAAAAAATGAGGTCGATTTTTTTTCTATAGAAAAAATGAGGACGATTTTTTTCTGTAGAAAAAATGAGGACGATTTTTTTTTCTATAGAAAAAATGAGGACGATTTTTTTTTCTATAGAAAAAAGGAGGACGATTTTTTTCTTTAGAAATGAGGACGATTTTTTTTCTATAGAAAAAAGGAGGACGATTTTTTTTCTATAGAAAAAAGGAGGACGATTTTTTTTTCTATAGAAAAAAGGAGAACGATTTTTTTTCTATAGAAAAAAGGAGAACGATTTTTTTTCTATAGAAAAAAGGAGAACGATTTTTTTTCTATAGAAAAAAGAAGAAAGATTTTTTTTCTATAGAAAAAAGGACGATTTTTTTATAGAAAAAATGGACGATTTTTATCTATAGAAAAACATGACGATTTTTTTCAGTAGAAAAAATTCAGCCTCAGTTCACTGAGGGCAGAATTTTTTCTATAGAAAAAATTCAGCCTCAGTTCACTGCGGACAGAGTTTTTTCTATAGAAAAAAATCAGCCTCAGTTCACTGAGGACAGAGTTTTTTCTATAGAAAAAATTCAGCCTCAGTTCACTGAGGACGGATTTTTTTCCTATAGAAAAAAGTCTCCTCACGTTTTTTTTTATAGAAAAAAAAATCAGCCTCAGTTCACTGTGTACGGATTTTTTTTTATAGAAAAAATGCAGCCTCAGTTCACTGAGGACGGAGTTTTTTCTATTAAAAAAATTCAGCCTCTGTTCACTGAGGACGATTTTTTTCAAAAAAAAATCTCCTCAACCCCCTGAGGACGGATTTTTTTCTATAGAAAAATTCATTTCTGTTTTATTTTTTCTCCTCCTACCTCTGTTTCGATTGGTGGATCACCGCCCGCTTCCAGCAGTAAAACATTCCATTTGGGATTTTCACTTAAGCGGCCAGCCACCACCGAGCCAGCCGATCCAGAGCCCACAACCACAAAATCATAGTCCTTTATACCTTTGAAATAGAACTCCATGATTACTATTTCTTTTAGGAAACACCTTCCGATTTTTACCATTTTTCATAATATCATCCCCATAATCCTTGGGCCAATGCGAACGATCACTTAATGAGCAGAATTTCGAAATTAAAGTCTGCAAGAGCAGGGTCATCAGCGTGTTTGCCGGCCCAGCTGAGCGGGCAGCACATTCCGTCGATAGGTAGTCCATGGCAATAAAATTTTCCACTCAGAACTTATTTTTTTCCGATTTTCGTCTTCTCTCCAGCCGTTATATTTATTCCAGTATCTGATATGAACTAAATTTGTTGTTGACACGACGTGATCTTTTTATAGCAGAATTCTAGCCAGCGATCAGGAAAGTGCACTATTCTAATTGTTATTGCGGCAATGTATTAGCCGGAGTGCTGTCAGAATTTGCATTTTTTATTTACTTTTTTTTCTATAAATTTGTTTGACCGGCAAGCCAAGAGCTTTCTCTGCCCGAAGCAACAATAAAAGTAAATAAAAATAGAAAAAAAAACTTGTTGACAAAAGTAAAGCTCTTGTGCTAAACACATCCCATAAAGATTAAAATGTAGGGGCGCCAATTTATGCCGGTTAAGGTACAGTGGTTGGAATAACTTAAAATGAGAAGTACCAGAATAAGATTGGTTATCAAGGGCTGAAAAAATTTATTTGCGGAGCCTTTTATATTTTTTTAATATTTTTATATTTTTTTATTTATTTTATATTTTATGTTTTATATTCGTCTCTTAATTTAAATTCCATGAAAAGATTTTTTTTTAATTTTTTTATAATTATTTATTATTATTATTATTTTTATTTTTATTATTATAATTTTAATTATTATTATTATTATTATTATTATTATTATTATTATTATTATTATTATTATTATTATTATTATTATTATTATTATTATTATTATATTATTATTATTATTATTATTATTATTAGTATTATTATTATATTATTATATTATTATTATTATTATTATATTATTATTATTATTATTATTATTATTATTATTATTATATTATTATTATTATTATTATTATTATTATTATTATTATTATTATTATTATTATTATTATTA